CTCCCTTCCCTCCATCTCTGTCTCCACGCTTGTGCGCCTTCTCAGCTGCCGGCCACATGACCCACAATGCACTCCGGCAGGCCTGGTCCGCCCCGGTGAACATCTCGAGGACCTCTGAGACTCAGGGAGGAGAGCACGCGAGGCCTGGAATGTGTGCCATGTCCCAAAGTGCATCCTGTTGTGGCAGAAGGACAGAGCTGCCATTACGCCTGTCATGTTCGCAATAGCTTGCAAACACACAACTCACTCCCTTGTATTTCCTCCTTTCTGCAATCCTTTTTGACACCTGTCATTTTCAAGCAGACTTGAGGTGGGGGTGGGGGGAAGAAACAGCAGCACCGAACTGGAAGGTGGCAGTTGGGGGGGGGTGTCACGGGCTTGACAACAGAGGAAGCTGCCTTCACGCTCCCACAATGCATCTGTGTCGACGTCCATCCTGGAAGCACCTGCAATCTTGCACGGTCTGTTGATGGGCTGGTTTTGTGAGAGCAGTTGTGAGCCTAACCCCACTTTCCTGGGAGTGAACCCAATTGAACTCCATGGGGCTTACGTCTGAAAAGACGTGGTTGGGACTGCAGCCGATATGTTGACATAAACTACTTCTTTTTAAGTCACTGTGGTGTACACCATAACAGTGTCCCTGTTTTCCAAAGACAGTCTTGGATTTACAGAAGCTGTCACAGTTTCTGGTTTGATCCCTGAATGTCCCATTTTTCCTTAAAGGTAAAGGGACCCCTGACCATTAGGTCCAGTCGTGACCTACGTGCAGCACACGGAAATGCCATTTACCTTCCCACCAGAGTGGTACCTATTTATCTACTTGCACTGGTGTGCTTTCGAACTGCTAGGTTGGCAGGAGCAGGGACCGAGCAACGGGAGCTCACCCCATCACAGGGATTCGAACTGCCGACCTTCTGATCGGCAAGTCCTAGGCTCTGTGGTTTAACCCACAGCACCACCCGTGTCCCTTTTCCTTAGGATGCCCCTATGTTCATTAGAGAAATGTTGGAGGATATGGAATAGGATGTCCTTCTCTTAGTCAGAGAAATGTTGGAACGAATGGAATAGGATGTCCCTGTTTTCATCAGAGAAATGTTGGGAGGTATGCCGTAAACTTATAAGATCCTGAAATTCAGGACAAATGACAAATGCTGAAACAAAACAGGTTTTTAAGCAGGTGGTGAAACAGCAGAATTGTAGGTGCTTGTCTGGTTAAAATAGGGAACAGCGTTCCAAATTACTGGTACCGCTACACTAGAAACCTGAGTTTGCAGAGAAACTCAACAGTCGTAACAATTTTCAGACTGAGAATCGTCTTGAAATCTAGCCCTGCAACTGTGGACAAGAGGGAAATCTACTCTCATGTTGGTGTGAACTTGCCAAATCTGCAGATTCTGAACCATAACTCAGCTCTTCTTTGAAACCCACACACCTCTGAATTTTTTTTAAAAAAATTAGGTCCTCAACATGGTATTTTATTTTGTTCACATACACTATGCCATAAACTCATATGGAATTGGTTCCAGCAGCTCTGGCTCCTTGCCATTGTTTCTTACAAAGCGGGCTTCTCTTGGAGGAGCAGGCTGGCTTTTTAGTTCAAACCAAATTCCCTTTTCCTTTCCTTCTTTTTCCTTTCTTTCATTTTCTTTCACACGCTGCAAGAAGCTGTCTCTGCTCTTTGAGCGCTTAATATGCTCAATTCGCACATTAATTCTCTTGGCCAGAATCTTGCCCTTAACTTTCTTGTTCACAATAATGCCCACAGCATGCCGGGTAATGTTGTATACCCTTCCTGTCTTGCCACGGTAACATTTGTGGGGCATGCCTTTCTGAATTTGCCCATGCCCTTTATGTCAACAATATCACCCTTCTTATAGATGCACATGTAGCTAGCAAGAGGGAGCACACCATGTTTGCGAAAGGGTCTTGAGAACATGTAACGTGTCCCTCTCCTCTTCCCCTTGGTGTTGGTCATCTTGACGGTTTACTGTAAGATGGTGCTGAATTTTGTGGTGCTGGTCTTTGACCGGCCTCTGTCCTGTTCCTGCTGCAGGACTGTTCTTACCGTCTTATGAGTCTGTTCTCGGGACAGAAGATGCATCAGGCAGAACCAGCTGCCCCCGGGGCCAGGCCTGATAGATACAGAGGGGCAGAGCTGATAGTAGCAGTTGCTTCGTTCTGCCCTCCTCACCCATGTTCAATTCAGCTCTTGTCAAATCCAGGGAAGGCTAACCTGCTTCTGAGGAACTGGATTCCTTTGCTATCTTTTGCTGGAGCCAAAATATCAAGCAGACTTTTTTCTCCCAAACAGCAGAAGTTTCCTTCCATGTTCATCTGAGCATTGCTGTCTCCTCTGCTGTCTGTTTGGCAAGCTCAGCAAGGATTCTCCACTGGGGGTTTGCACTAGAAACTGTCCTGGGTCCTTCGGGGACTCACTTCTTTACCCTGACACTAATACTACTACCGAACGTCTCTTTGGCGCCACACAGAAGTGACAAAATCCCTCCCTGCGGAGGCTCATAATCTATCGGAGACAGACAAAATGGTGTGGGAACACAGGAAACTGCCTTTGAACTGAGTTGGAGATCTAGCTCAGCGTTGTCTAATAATAATAATAATAATAATAATAATAATAATAATAATAATTTATTATTTGTACCCCACCCATCTGGCTGGGTTTCCCCAGCCACTCTGGGCGGCTTCCACAGAGACCAAAAATACACTAAAATGTCACACATTAAAAACTTCCCTGAACAGGGCTGCCTTAAGATGTCTTCTGAATGTCAGGTAGTTGTTTATTTCTTTGACATCTGATGGGAGGGCGTTCCACAGGGCGGGCGCCACTACCGAGAAGGCCCTCTGTCTGGTTCCCTGTAACCTCACTTCTCGCAATGAGGGAACCGCCAGAAGGCCCTCGGCGCTGGATCTCAGTGTCCAGGCTGAACGATGGAGGTGGAAACGCTCCTTCAGGTATACAGAACCGAGGCCGTTTATGGCTTTATAGGTCAGCACCAACACCTTGAATTGTGCTCGGAAACATACTGGGAGCCAATGCAGATCTCTCAGGACCGGTGTTATGTGGTCCTGGCGGCCACTCCCAGTCACCAGTCTGGCTGCCGCATTCTGGATTAATTGCAGTTTCTGGGTCACCTTCAAAGGTAGCCCCACGTAGAGCGCGTTGCAGTAGTCCAAGCGGGAGATAACTAGAGCACGCAGTACTCTGGTGAGACAGTCTGCGGGCAGATAGGGTCTCAGCCTACGTACCAGATGGAGCTGGTAGACAGCCGCCCTGGACACAGAACTGACCTGCGCCTCCATGGACAGCTGTGAGTCCAAAATGACTCCCAGGCTGCGCACCTTGTCCTTCAGGGGCACAGTTACCCCATTCTGGACCAGGGAGTCCCCCACACCAGCCCTGTCCCCCCAAAACAGTACTTCAGTCTTGTCAGGATTCAACCTGACTACAGTGTCTATCAGACCTTTGGACAAGTTATGGCTAGTTGGAGGCTGCACCCAGCACCCTCAGGCCATAGCCAATGCCCCAGAATATTTGTGAAGCCAAGCAATATTTGTGACCCTGGTCTGCTCTGTTGCCATTCCTGCCAATTTCTCTGGGGACGCCTCAGGCTCTGCCTTTGTCCCGGGGCAACCAGCGTTGGATGGCAGCGAGGGGAAGGCGGGTGGCATGGCGCTGTGGCAGAAGTCAGCACGGTCGCGACAAAGCATCGGACCAAAAAAGGAGCAGCTTCCATCCGACACTCTGGCACGATCCTGTTGATTTCATGCCAGAGCAATGGAATGAAAGCCACACGTTTTTCTTTTATAAGTTTTTATTCGTTTTTCAACATATCATTTTCAACAATAATTAAACATACTTTCATATCTTATACCATTTTTTTTCTTCCATCAATCACATCTGAAAATTTTCCAATCTATTCACTTAATATACATTTCTTACTTTCACTATTACATTTAAATCTCATAACTAATATCTCTATTCTTTCTCTGCTTTGCAATATTTCATGTATTTCTCCTTACAAAACGTCTTGTAGTCGTACCAGTGTAATTTGTTGATTACAATTGCTCTTCAAATAGTTTGCATATTTCTTCCAATCTTCTGTGAATCTCTGGTCCCGCAGGTTTCGAATCCTTCCTGTCATTTTATCTAATTCTGCATAGTCCATTAATTTTGTCTGAAAGCCACTCGTTTTTTCTGTCCTGTGAGACCAAAGAATGGGTGTCTTTTCCTCTCGTGCATGCGTGAAAGCTCGGGATCGGAAAACTGAGCGTCCCCGTTTCAGTGGGGAAAATGTAGGGTGGCGTGTCTGCTGCCAAGCAGTCAGTTTTGTAAACCACTTAAAAAACCCCGCAGTCTCCTCAATACGTCACTCCAGGGGCACTGTGGGAAATTAAAATGGCTGCCCCAGGGAGGCCATTTTGATTTCACACATTAACCCCGGAGCTCTGGTTATGGCAGGAGCTTTTGTGAGAACATTGGAATGGCAACTTCCGACATGAACTGTCCTTCCTCTCTGGGAAGCCCATGGAAAGGGGAACGCCGAAGAAAGAGGGAGCCCAACAGAAGGCTGTTTGGGCTGGACTCTCAAAAGTGGGCTCTTTCTTGGTCCCACGAAACAGGTTTTCCCTGGGGCTGTTTTGGACTACAACTCCCATCCATCCAATACAAATATGCTTTTGCCTGGGGAAATCACTGGAGTCTGCAGAACATGCTTTATACCGTGACTTCCCATCATTTGTTTATTTAAGCCAAGGAGCCACCACTGAAAAGGCCCTGTCATGGGTTAGTGCCAACCGGGGGAAGCACCACATACAGCTCCCCCCACCCCACCCCGCTGATTGTAGGGTATAGGGGGGTCCATATTGGGGAAGGTGCTCTTTTAGGTACTTGACTGTGAAGCTGTTTAGGGCCTTGTATGCTTGCTGTAGTCTGCACAGCCATGACAGCACTTTGTTTTAGAAAAAGTCACTTGCATTGAACGGAGGTAGTTTAGCGGGTTAGAGTGTGGCAGTGAGAACGCCAAGGTCACAGGTTCTATCCCTGTATGGGACAACTGCATATTCCTGCGTTGCAGGGGGTTAGACTAGATGATCCCCAAGGTCCCTTCCAACTCTCCAGTTCTATGAATACCATGGATGGAGCCCAGGGAGGAAAGAAACTGATATGTGAACAAAAACAGTGTGCAACTTGAGGAGAATTCAACCTACGGATTTGGTCTTGATCTTACAGGCCTTGTTCATAAGGGGGAGATGTTCAACAACACATTCAGGGGAAATACTCCCTCAGGACTAGGCAGCCAATCAGAGGCTGTGTTACCTCAGCGAGGGTCATGTTGCTGGGCCTGGTTGCTAGGCAGCACCTCCACCCATCTCTCTCTTGGCTACTTGGCTTTAATGCCAAGAGAATTAACCCTTGAGCTGCGCACTGAATGAGCCCTGCTGTTGCACTTCCAACGTGTTGCTTCTAGGAGTGCACCCCTGTTCCCCCAAATTTTGTGATAACCGTACACTTTCCACACTTTTACTCATAATTTCATGCTAGGTATATGTGTGTGTGTGTGTGTGTGTGTGTGTGTGTGTGAACCCCTTTCTGATCTTAAAAGCAGCATCTAGTATGTGTGTGTGTGTCCTCCTTTTCTGATTGGAAGGCTCCCAAGACCCCAAGACCCCGTCCTCAACCCCATATCTTCCCCTTTCCTCCATGGATCCTGCTTCCAAGGCTGTGATGGTTCTCCGAGAAATGGTACTGTCTGATTAAGATGGATAGATTGGTAAGAAGCATCCAGTGTGACCGGAATAGAAAACACAGCAGCTCCTGGCTGGCTTGGGGGGCAGAAAGCCAGAAAATAGCTTTGCTCGGAAGATGATTTCCATACGAGTGCAGCTTGTCCTTAAAATAGCATCTTTCCTCTTCTTCTTCCTCTCCCCTCTCTTCCATCACTTATACAGTCCAGTTCTGTCCAGCCTTACTCAGAAATAAGTCCCCTGCTTCAAGGAGATGGGCTTCCTGTAGGATTGCTCTCTTCTCTTTCTCTTTGGCGATCAGTCGTAGCCGAGTAAGATTGTCTTCCATAAACATGGTTTTAACAATGAGTCCGTAAGTGACTGTGGAGGCCAATTCGGGACCCACACGTCCTTCCATGGTGGGGACATTGGTTCCCGGGCGGGAGTTGATCAGTGTTGATTTGCCAAGCGTGCCTTCCTCGTCGCACGTTCCTCCCTTGCGTTCTGAGTTCGAGTGTCTTCAAAGCCCATGACACCTTCTGCTGCTTATGTATGACCTCAGCACAAGCTGAGTTGGTGGCAAAGCAAGCTTTCCTCTTGGTAGGGCTGTCTGTGTGACCAGCTATTGTCTAACACTGCCCACCGAGCCTGGTATCGTCTGCTCCCTCCCCAGGTCAACAAACCCCGTCTGTCCCTCACTTCCCTCTATGGCACATGCAGAGACCGCCTTCTTCACCGTTGGAGCCCCTCATCCAACAGAGCCTGTCTTCGCACGCAGGGGAATTGGGTGTCTGGTGTGTAACATAATTGGGAAGGGGGAGCCTTATACATGGGGGCGTCTTATAGACGGGAAAATACAGTAATTAGGGAGGGAGAGCAATTTGTTTGTGTTTAGATGCCATGTTCCTGCCAAATCTCCCGACTCTGGGGTTGCAGCGCTCATCTCGCTCTATAGGCCGAGGGAGCCAGCGTTTGTCCGCAGACAGCTTCCAGGTCATGTGGCCAGCATGACTAAGCCGCTTCTGGCGAACCAGAGCAGCGCACGGAAACGCCGTTTACCTTCCCGCTGGAGCAGTGTCTATTTATCTACTTGCACTTTGACGTGCTTTTGAACTGCTAGGTTGGCAGGAGCAGGGACTGAGCAACGGGAGCTCACCCCGTCGTGGGGATTCGAACCGCCGACCTTCTGATCGGCAAGTCCTAGGCTCTGTGGTTTAACCCACAGCACCACCCGCATCCCTTCTCTAAGAGGGTAAGAAATGGCAAAATGAGATGAAGGGGGAGAGAGGGAGAGAGGCAAGGCACACTCACAGGTACTGAGCCTTCCCCACTCTTACATAATGAAGTTACGTAATGGCTCAGAAGTGCTGACTGCCTACTCATTTGCCCTCTTCTGCTGGGTCTGATCTGCACAGAGTTGAGCAGAGGTGGCCTGCTTGCTCCCACCGCTGCTCGTTCACTCGTAGGGCAGGTTGACAGCAGGGACAGGAGACCCTGGGGGTTAGCAGCGGACCTCCAATGTAGGGACAGGCTTTGAGATGTGTCTGGTGGTGCCAACCTCCTGGCTGCAGCCATTCCTTCTCCCAGACACACACACACTTCCTAGTCTGATGCAACAGGAAGCGGGCTGGGAGGTGGAATACATTCATCCCCTCCCTTGTCTTTTTGGTGAGGTAGTTACTGAGCCCACCCAAAGTCCACCCCCCTCTCTCTCCCTCTCCCCCCATTAGAATCCTGCAGTGTGTTTCCTTTAAAGAGCCGGTGACACTTGTTGCATTTCCCTTGGGAGCAGATGTTAAAGAGTTTCCAGGATCAAAAGAAGCAGACATCATGTCAGAAACAATTATTGTACCGCAATGCCTATGAGCTACTCATTCATTCCAGGGACTTTTCTTTAGATCGGGGAGAAGAGGGGGGCAGAAAGATCATGGTCAAAGCAAACAACAGCGGAAATGTTGCTTCGTCGCTCGCTTGCTTGCTTGCTTGCTCACTCTGCAAGATGGGGATGGGAACTTTACAGGGCTGATGTGAGGATTACAACAGCAACCAAATAGTAGGATAGGATTGAGGCAATTCCAAGCTGCCTCAAGAGAAGTCTAGTGTCCAGAGCAAGGGAAGTCATAGGTAAAGGTAAAGGGACCCCTGACCATTAGGTCCAGTCGTGGCCGACTCGGGTTGCGGCGCTCATCTCGCTTTATTGGCTGAGGGAGCCAGCGTACAGCTTCCGGGTCATGTGGCCAGCATGACTAAGCTGCTTCTGGCGAACCAGAGCAGCACACGGAAATGCCCTTTACCTTCCCGCTGGAGCGGTACCTATTTATCTACTTGCACTTTGATGTGCTTTCGAACTGCTAGGTTGGCAGGAGCTGGGACCGAGGGACCGAGCAACAGGAGCTCATCCCGTCACAGGGATTTGAACCGCCAACCTTCTGATCGGCAAGTCCTAGGCTCTGTGGTTTAACCCACTGCGCCACCCGCATCCAAGGGATGTCATAGTCCTGCTCTATTCTGCCTTGGTCAGGCCACACCTGGAATACTGTGTCCAGCTCTGGACACCACAATTTAAGAAGGATGTTGACAAGCTGGAAGCTGTAGCAAGAGCAACCATAATGATAATGGAAATGAAGCCTTATGAGGAATGGTTGAAGGAGCTGTTTAGCCTGGAAAAGAGGAGACTGAGAGGAGAGAGGAGAGTTACAGGTAGGTAGCCGTGTTGATCTGCTGTAGTCGAAACAAAATACAAAAATTCCTTCCAGTAGCACCTTAGAGACCAACTAAGGAGAGAGAAAAGCCACATTCAGATATCTAAAGGTCTTATCATATAGAGCAGGGGTCAGCAACCTTTTTCAGCTGTGGGCTGGTCCACTGTCCCTCAGACCATGTGGTGGGCCGGACTGTATTTTGAAAAAAAAGAAATGAATTAATTCCTATGCCCCACAAATAACCCAGAAATGCATTTTAAATAAAAGGACACATTCTACTCATGTAAAAACACACTGATTCCCGGACCGTCCGCGGGCTGGTTGAGAAGGCGATTGAGCTGCATTTGGCCCCCAGGCCTTAGGTTGCCTACCCCTGATATAGAAGGTGCATGGAGCTAATTTTCTCCTGCTCCATAGGACCCAAAGCAATAGATTAAAGTTACAATAAAGGAGATTCCAACAAAACATCAGGAAGGGAGACAGTTTCCCTCGGGAGGCTGTGGGCTCTTCTTCATCTGAGGTTTTTAAAGGAGAGCTTAGGTGGCCATTTGTCCTGGATGCTTAAGTTGAGATTCCTGCTTTGCAGGGTGTTGGTCTGCTCCTTCCTCCTGGGCCGTGTCCAGAAAGTGGTGGGGGGGGGATGAGTGTTCAGACCCCTGGGCTCTCACTTGTGGGGTGCCTCAGGGTTCCGTCCTTTACCCCATGCTTTTCAACATCTACATGCAGACGCTGGGAGAGATCATCAGGGGGTTTGGGCTAGGTGTTCATCAATATGTGGATGATACCCAGCTCTACTTCTCTTTCAAATCAGAACCAGTGAAGGCAGTGAAGGTCCTATGTGAGTGCCTGGAGGTGATTGGAGGATGGATGGCAGCTAACAGATTGAGGTTGAATCCTGACATGACAGAAGTACTTTTCTTGGGGGACAGGGGGCGGGCTGGTGTGGAGGACTCCCTAGACCTGAATGGGGTAACCGTGCCCCTGAAGGACCAGGTGCGCAGCCTGGGAGTCATTCTGGACTCACAGCTGTCCATGGAGGCGCAGGTCAATTCTGTGTCCAGGGCAGCTGTTTATCAGCTCCATCTGGTACTCAGGCTGAGACCCTACCTGCCCACAGACTGTCTCGCCAGAGTGGTGCATGCTCTGGTTATCTCCCGCTTGGACTACTGCAATGCACCCCAAGTTGGGTTACCTTTGAAGGTGACCCTGCTTTGCACCCTCTTGAGTGCTTTTGCCTGGCCAGAATCTGACCCTGAACTATGACAATGCCTCTTGCTTGCATAGATGCAAAACAGAGAGGGGCTGGGGAGCCTACAGTGTAAAGAAAAGAATTTCATTCTTGCTCCACCCACTAGACCTGCCTGCCATCAACATCCTGCCCCTGGAAAGTTGTCCAGGAGGGAATTCTGCCCTTGGCTTGCAACAGGCCCCCCTACCCCTGCCCTATTGCTGTAAATACTCCTGTATGCAGGATCGCACCTGTTTGTAATATTCAGCCCTGCGGCGTAATAAACTGGCGACTTGGAAGAGCGACAGGCAAGAGAATCTTTCACATAATGTCATGAGCTCCCCAAGTGATTTAACACACCTATTTCCCATTCAATCAAAACTTAATAAATACTCTGTT